AAAAAAAAAAAAAAAGAAAAAAGTTCCATTCATTTATATATTCATACAGCATAAAATCCCCATCATGGACAAAAATTTCAAGCATTTATGATGCAATCAAAGACATGTTAACCCTCGCGTTTTCTCAACTTTCAAAATTTCTCTCGTCTCGCTCGCCTTTTTAATCTACGACGGTATATAAAACATTGAAACTTTCATAGAATTTTCTATCGGCAGCTTAAGGATAACCGAGACGTCGCAATAAACGGTTCGATGCGATCTTTCACTCGCAACAATCGAGCTTTACCAGGGCGGAGGGGAAATGGGGGTTGTGTCGCGCAGAAGCTACTGAAAAGGCACACACGCTCGGTATTTAGGAGCAGCAGTAACGGTAACAATAGGCAAGTATACGTGATAGAAAAAGAGCAGTAGCACGTCGTGGTTCAACCGAGCTTACTTTTATATCTCACCATCGTTGCTCTTCGCCCGCCGCGCCGTTCGCTTTTACTCTTTCTTTGCGAGTCAAGCATCGTTCCTCCGTCTCGTTTTCACCCGTTGTCTCTCACTTATCCGCCCTCGTCTTTTTGCTCTTGCGACGATAGAAGGAGAGAGAAAGAGAGAAAGCGAGAAAGCGGCAAAGAGGCTGCTTTGTCGCCGGACACCTTTCTCTATTATTAAATTGTATGTTCTTCAACCCCTTATCCCAGCTTTACACCTCGGGTCTCGCGTTCGCGCGTTTCAGACAGACGTCCCGCGTCTCTGTTTCCTTTATTTATAAGTTCTGGATACAGATTTCGCTTTGAAGGCCGGGCAATGACGTTGTTTAAATCAAAACGAATAATAATGGCATTTAATGTTTTATACATTCTTCGAATGTAAGGATCACAGTGATTCTACGATTACGGGGTTATTTTTTCCTCTGTTTCGAATTCCGTGGGTTCAGCTTTGAACATGTACGAGAAAGTATTATTTAACTTGACAAATAATATTCGTTTATTAGTTAGTTAAATTTCTGAGTTATAATTGGCATTCAACGTGCAAAAATATTCTGAATATTACTATATTACTTCTGAATGAATTCTCAATTCAAAATAGTTCGTATCCTTCAGAACGAAAATCGAACAACCAGCTGATTATTGTATAAACTAAAATAAGAAATTGACAAATTGCTAGACGATCGCGGTGTACTCAACAACGTATTTATACGTATTTATACAATTAAATATTTGCGTAATTATCTAACTCACGTTCAAGACTTCTTGTTGACACAAGGAAATTTAATGATTTATTTTCAGGTATTTATAGTCCGGGGACACTTTTTTCGTTTCGACTAGAAATCCTAACGTTTACTCAAATGAGGCTATTTATCTCGAGATTATTTTTTCTTGTCAACCTCGATACTTATTGCTTAAACAACAGTCGTTGCCGATTCTTCAACTGACGTTTGATTTTTAACAGAAATTGGCCAACCAAATTGTAATTGTATTGGAAAGGAATTATTTGATAATTTGGGATCCCCTATTCGTGACTTGCTACTTGTGATTCGGGATTCAAATTCGCAACAATAAGAGGCCATACAGTAATGCAGAATATTTGGTTATATGAGCGAGTTATATAGAGATCACGATCGGAATAGTATTGGTGAAATAAGAATGGTCATCGAGACTCTCTAGACACAAGGGATTAATCACGTGGACTATATGAGAGCTAGTTATATAATAAATTATCGCACGCTAACTCCTGCTATTAAAAATCTTCGTTAAATAATTTAAATTTCAAGCTAATTTTACTAGGCCAAACACTTCAAATGAATTCTTAATTTGTTAGAAAAAAAAAAGAGATTTAGAACGAAAATCATCGTAATGAATGATTGATTGATATATAGGTTGAAATGAAAGTTATTCGCTTACAGTCGACAGAGACTTTGATCTGCTTGCTCACTGTCGGAGGAACGCCATTCGTCGCGATGCACAAATAAACGCCCATGTCCAGTCTTGAGATACGCGTGATATCCAGTGTGTCGCCTTTCCACTCCAATACTGAAAATGATAACCGACATTTTAGCGCGACACATCCGATGCATTTTTGTTCTCTTCCATTTGACGTCGCTAAATAACCATTCGACGGTGCCCGAAAGTTAATTTTAGTTAATTGACAAACGAACGAGCAGGGATGGAGAAAGATGAACGGGAAAATGCCAAATAAATTTATCTTCGCACGAACTCTAATATTGGAAATTCAATAAATTCGCCGATCCTTTGTTGATGATTTCAGAAATACATTCGAGAATGCACTCCCCGTTGATCTTCAAACATTTGTCATGATTATTTCGTTGAAAATTCATTCATGGAGAAGCAAATTTATTAGAGAAGAAAAAGTGATGATCTCGTAATCACTGTATTGCGGATTATTTTTATACAAGTTTATATTTTTATAAATAGAAAAGATAGAAAGATTAAATCATTTAAATTTTTTAAATAAAAATATACTATACATAGTAGTAAGTAGAGTCAAGTAAAAGTGACGAATCTAAATATGACATCAAATTTTTTGTTCAATTCTTTAATTTAAGCTTAATGCAAAACTTCAAAATAAAATTCACTTAAAAATAAACTTCGAGTCTAACGTGTATGAAAAAATGTATTACATTTCAAATGAAATTGAAAAAAATTTACATCCTTACGCTTGCGTCGTTGCAAAACATTTTCATCAAAGTCTTAACCAGTCTTCCTCAGAATATAATTTAACTACCAGCTAGCAAACACGGAATCAGTTTATCACGTGACGAACACGTTAATTACATATTCCCTTTTTCTCGTGCCGAGAGCATCCCAACTAGAACGCAAATTTTTCATTTCTTCGCAAAGCGCAAGGAACACGATCTTCAAAAGTTGATGCATTGCTCAGGTAGCATCCCATATTTATTTCGATAAATTGATATGCCCTCTGACCCGTGTAGAACGCCCGTGTGTAGAAAAAATTCAAACCGCGTTTCGTTCTTCGTACGAAATCAGTGGCCAACGTAATTACGCGTCGCGATATATTCTCGCGCCGGTCGTTAACGACATCGAGTCGCACGAGTCGCACGAGTAATACTCGGAATTGCGTGACGCGTTAATGAGGAATGCCTCTTTTTCTCGCCTCGTCCTCCCTTTTTTTTCCATTAAATGCACTGTCGTCCGACAAGTTTTCGCTTCTTCTCCCCTGCTTCCCCCCTGCTTCTGTCTTTCTTTTCAATTTTCCTTTACTTTTCTTTCCGCGAGCAACGCGATCTTCTCTAAGACCGACGGCAACACACAGTTTTCCGAGATGCAGCTGTGTTTGATCTTCGAACAGAAGCCAGACGAATGTCATTATTTTTAATTGCCGCGCGCCTCTGCTCGCCAGAATCTATCGAAACACGGTCACGGATCGATGTCAGTCGTACTCTGAGGAGAAGGTGGATTACGGGGGAGGCAAATGTACGGATAACTTGGAAGATAGTCGATCGGACGTCTTGCGTGCTGGAAGAGAATTTCTCACGATCCATGTTCGTTCGTTTGTAAATTTTCATACGTGTTGTGTTTCTTATACGTACGAAAGTAGAAGTTCTCTTTCGAAAAAAAATGGTATTTCGTATGAACTTGTGAACGTTTATAATGAAATGAAAGAAGTTATAGCATAGTTGGAAAGTGTAGAATAATTAAATTAAAGAAACTGTTTCTTTTCGATTCAGCGATCCCTCAATCAAGTTTGGTATTTTTAAATATATCAGCGCGTATGTATATGTATATGAAGGTATCGGAAACTAATCAGTATAAGTCACTTTCCGTTAAAAATAATTTGCACCACGCGAATATTCTTTTGTTGTTAACAAAAAGAAAAATCGTCAGCCAACGAAATAATTTTATCACGAAAATAATTTAATAATTATCTATAATAAACTATTTCGTCGTCGGGAGAATTCGAAAAGAAACTTATGTTACGTATGTGCAAGTCATTCTTTGTGAGAATTAGTAACTTCTATACCAGATACTTTTTCATCAACGTCAGATTAAACTTGTAAATTTGTACTTCACATGTATCGAGAAAACGTAGTGAACAAAGAACTAGAGCAACTGAGGCAGAATATGTGGAAAAAATAAATCATTGAAAGATCAGTAAACGAAAAGTAATACCAACTTTCAATGCTTGCTCAGTTGCAATAATATATTATCATTTCTCTAAATTCTCTAAATCATCTGAAAATTTGATTCTTT